TGGTCAGGATGGTGGTCGGGAAGGATATCTACTTCTAAGGGCCCGGTGGTCTGGTGACCACCATGAGTGCCGGGGTGGGTCCCCGTGCTTCAAACCCACTCTCAGTCACCCTTGAAAGGCAAGACTCCTGCGCTGTCCAGGCTGAGGGCTCTGTGCGGGCCACTGGAGGGACCTCCAGAGCGCTGGTGTGCTGGTTGGAAGGGAAGGTGGGTGGGAGCCGGCAGCCAGCACTTCCTGCACCACCACCATTGGGCCAGACCGCCGGGGTCCAGGGAGAGACCTGCAGAGAGCAGGGGGCTCCAGGAAGGGTGGTGGGCAATGGGCGGTCATCTTATGCACTTGTGAGCACAATGATCCCTTCCCCAAATGGCAAGCACCCACCCAGGTGAAGGCGAACACCCTCAGAGCCACGGTCATGCATGGAAGGGGACAGGCAAGACTGACCAGGCAGGTTTTCTCAGGCCCTGTGGTCCCTCCTGAGCAAGACCCCAGGCTCATAAGGAGGCCATGTGCAGTGATGCAGTCACACTGGCCACGGGCGAGCAGGCACCAGCATTTCTTGTACTGTCGGAACACAGCGAAGGAGAGAGGAGCAAGCCCTGCAGACTGCAGACGGCTGCCCCAGGAAGGCTGCGCTGTGCAGGACCCTCCAGATCCCAGAAACCTCCAGCAGCCGGATGCCAGGTGAGTGGAAGCTAGATCCAGACTGAGGGGGCGTTGAGGATGGTGCCTCCGAGGCCCAGCCTGGCGGCTCTGGCGGGCACAAATGAAGGCAGTCGGGTGCATGCATACACACACACCCACACATGCACACACATGCACACACAGCCACCTCCACTTCCTTCTCCCCCTTTGGCCTTGAGGTCAGTGACCAGGTAGGTGTCCAGTGGCTGCCCCAGTCTGATGGTCAGGATGGAGGTGGACGATGGTGTCAGAGATACTTCCACACACAGGGAAGGGGCGTATGGCCCTGGCTGGAGGATGGAGTTGGTCAGGCCCGGGTGGAGTCCAGGGCCAGCCCCAGGGAGGCCCTGTTGTCTCCAGGAGCAAACTGTGCTGGGAGGTGTCTTCAGCCTGGGGTCACTTTTGGACAATGTGGACATTGCTGTTCGCAGTCCACACTGTAAGCTGGCCAATGCCCGCCAGGCTGCGGACCTCCCTGCACCTCTGAAGGCGGGAGGACAACAGTGACAGCACCACCTGGTGATGATGCCACCCACAGAAGCAGGTGGCACTGCTGAGCAGCCATGTGAACCATCTGTGTGAGAACAGGTGTGTGTTGCGTTTCATGAGGCCAGTACCCTGGCCTCAGCCTCCCTGCAAGGCCAGCTTGACCACCTGTAGGCCCTGGTTACAGAACAGAGTCCAGGTGCTGCCAGGGGCCCACTGCCCTCCCGGGTCCCACAGCACACCAGGGAACTGGCACTGGCGGGCACCGTGGCTGCAGCCTGGACGCAGAGGTGGACGCACAGCAGCCCCTCATCCTATAGATGAGGGTGCCACCCTGACCACTGTGACAGATAGATGGACAGAGGCTGTGAGTGTGCTTTGACCAGCTGCTGCCAGGCATGGCCCCCACAACCCTCCCTGAGTGCTGAGTGTGGATCCACCCACCTCGTGGAGGTGAGGAGCAGTGTGTGCCTTGCACCCAGAGCAGACAAGGGACTTCTGCAGCCCGACAAGGAGATAGACACTACATCTGAATGCATGTCTCCAAGGAGACGCCAAGGGATGCTGCATTGCCCCGGCACGGGGGACCGGGGACACGTGGGGCAGAGCCAGTAGGTACACCTCCCACCCAGGAGGTGCTAGAGTCTCACGCTGTGGACGGGTGTGAAACAATGCAAGGTTGTGGAAAGCTGCGTAGCTCTGAGTGGAAACAACTCCGTGTGCAGCACGTCTGTGTGCACCTGAGGATCCAGGGCAGGTCCACACCATGCTGGGCAGGCATTCACAGCACCTTGGTCACTTTAGCCACGGTGCAGAAACAGCCCAGCATCCATCAGTGGGCAAGTAAGCAAGTCATGGACCGGCATTCCCCAAACAAAGCAGGAAGCACTGTCAGCACGCTGGCACGGGGCACCCTGAACACACGCTGTAGGAGAGAAGCCAGACACAGGCTGCCCCACAAGGGTGCACTGCAGGGTGGGCCCCCCACAGGGAAGCCCCGCAGAGACAGAAAGGGGTTGGGGGCTGCAGTGGGCTGGGTGGCCGTGGGAGTGCTGGCTGAAGGGCAGGGAGTTACCCTCTGGGGCGATCACGACTTCGAGGACTTCCCACGAGGACTTCCCACGAGGACCGAGCTGAAGCCATGGTGGGGCGAGTGGTGGGTATGTGAATTATCTCTCAACAAAGCTGCCGAGGAATCAGTGAACCATGGCCTGGAAATTGAAGCCAGATTTACAGATGGTAGTTAGTGCAGTTAGGTAAATCGGGGCTAATATCGAGTAAGATAAAGAAAATGGAGGACATATAGAGAATGGAGTCCAGGAAACCAGAGCAGCATTGGAGGAAATTGAAATGTTAATGTCCCCAAGCCTGGAGCCCATCCTAAGGTACTGTTAATGAAACAGGCCCAGCAAGCAGGGAGGTGCTAATCAAACCGCCCCAGGCCCTTCCTGCCCAGATGACTCCTCCAGCCCACCTGTCCCCCACCTTTTGGGCCCTCCCACCTGCATTCTATCACTGCAATATAACTGGGAACAACGGGCAGGAGTGTGGGAAAGCTGAAAGAAGACCTTAGCTATAAAAAAGGGAAGACCTGGCCCTTCCACAGATTCCGTCTTTCCGCCTTTCTGCCTTTCTGGTCCCCTTCTTCCTCCGGGGAGAAGTCTTCTCTGCTGTCCTTTAATAAACCTTCCACTGTCCACTCTCCACTGGCCTTGGTGTGCTTTTGGGTGTCATGCTTCAGCATTCAGGGAAGCAAGGACTCGTCACTGGTAAACAGTGGTAATAGGGACACATGGGGAGTGTCTGCTCTTAGGGTCTGCATTTCCCCAGCTCAGCACCACAAGGAGGCCAGGCCAGACCACCCCTCCTGCCCTCCAGGATACTTGCCCAGTGCATCCAGGCCCCGGGCATCTACACTTCATGAAGACCAGAGCCTCAGCCCGCAGAAGGAATAAGGCAATGGCCCCTTCCCCAGTACATCTGGCCGATGTCCCCCAGAGGACCACCATCCCAGCATCTGGGGGGCAGGTGTGTGCAGCACTGTGAGCACACAGCGTTACCCAGAGGCTCCAGGGCAGAAGTCCTGTGGGCATGTCTTTATGGGGTCCCTCACTTGTCTCCTGTGGGCGCTGGGCAGTGGATAAGACAGCACCCAGAGGGGCTCTCCACTCCCATTCTGCATAACATACAATATTGTTACTGTCACAGCACGTGAGCAGGACACCTGGAGCCATAGATGACTGGCTATCACCTTCTAACTGGGAAGTCAAAATTCATGCGGGTTGGTGGGATGGGAAGGAGGGGGGCCTGGAGGGCTAACCCTGGCCTTGGGTCTGGGTCTGTGTGGAGGGTGCACTGAGCCTGGGCAGGGGCAGGGTCAGCTGGGCTGTGGCTGGGTGCAGGCTTCTGCCCTGAGGTATGAAGTCATCGTGGTGCAGAGTGGCTGGGTCTTCCAGGATGTCCCATCCCTGGGATCTCAGAAGGGGTGGTGGGAACAGCTTGCAGGCTGGGCTGCCAAAAGCCTCGTCCTCACACCACCTGGCATTTAGCTCAGCTCCCAGCAGATGCCTGGCCAGTGCTGGTGTTTGCTGGGATTGGGGGCAAGTCTCCGTTCCAAACTCAGCTGTGCTTCTGAGAGATTCTGAGGTGTTCCAGGACTCTATAATGGGGAGATGGTAGCACCTGCCCCAAGATGACCTGAGAACCGGGCAAGACGGTTGAGGTGAAACATCCTGCTGGACGCTAGCTCCTTCCACCCAAGTTGTCTTGGGCAGAAGGTAAGGAGAGGCCATGGGAGCTCTTTTGAGAGCCGGGGGCAGCTTTGAAGGGAACAGAGGGGCAGTGGGAACAGGGTAGAAGAGAGGAAGCCTGGCAGGGCTTCAGCTACCAGCCTCCAGGGCTAGAAGCCAGCAGGGGTGGATGTTGGGGTCAGCAACAGGGGCTGGACACTGGGGGGCAGCAACAGTTTGTAGGGAAATGCTGTTTCTATTCTCAAAATCCCAGTGAGAGACAGCGTGTGCACAGGAGAGGAGCTCCAGGGATGGAGGAGGTTTGGGGCGATCGCGGGAGAAGTGTTGGAAGAAGCAAGCTGGGTCCAAGGTGAGAAAGGTGGTTTCTCTGAAGGTGGACAGGGAAGGAAGCAAGTGTGGGTGGCACCCAGCAATTGAGGGCAGCAGAAGAGGAGGCAGATAGCAGGTAGCCGGACCACCAGGAGCAGAACAGGAGAGACAAGGACCCAGTCTCCCAAGGCCCAAGGTCTAAGGGAGGGGTACAGGGCTTATCCAAGCTGAAGGTCAGAACTGGTCTTTCATCAAGTGGGCAGAAAGAGGCTAGAGCCTCACCTTGGGGAAGAAGGGAGAGGGGGGTCACTCCAGCCAGGCTGGGGTGGACTTTGGTCCTTCTCACCCTCTCCTCCAGGTACCTCTTCTTCCCCACAAATGTTCTGCCAGCCATGGGAGGCAAGTAGGGTCCCGGTAATCTAGAGTCCCCAGGATCCTCCCTTCCAACAGAGGGGTCAGGCTCCCAGACTGGAGATGGCCTGGTGAAGGGTGGAGGATGTCCCCCAGAGTCCCCTGGCAGCCAGAATGGCGGGGTCAACTGCAGCCCCTGAGTGCCCTCGCAGTCTACTGTGCGGGTCCTTGTCACCGCCAGGCTCTGGGTCCCACCTCCCCAGTTGGCAGCATTGGGCTGCGATGCGCTTGGGCTGCGGGCTACGGGAGTCCTGGGGCTGGGGGCGGGCGGGTGCGCTGCGGGCCGCGGCCGCGGGGGGCGCTGCGGGGCCCGTGGTTAAAGCTCGGGCGCGGGCGCGCGCGCTCAGAGGGAGCCGGGCCACTGCGGGCGCCGCTGTCGTCTGTTGCCGCGCCGCCCTGCCCGCGCTGAACCCGGCTTCCCGAGCCCAGCTCGGAGCCCGGTCCTGCGGCCCCAGCGGACGTCCGTCCCCGGCTCAGACCTGCACCTGAGCGCGCCCGGGCTGGTGGGGTCCGGGATCACGGCGGCGGCATGGGGAAATTTCAGTCCAAGCACGGTGAGGTGCGGCCGGGAGGGTGGGCGGGGCGCGGACGGGCGGCGCCACTCACTGTCCTTCCCTCTCCCTTGCGCCCCGGCCGCGCAGCAGCCGCCGCAGCCTGCAAGCGGAGAGAGAGCCCCGAAGGTGAGCGCGGGGACCATCTGGAGCCCAGGAGCCCCGAGCCCGGCGCGCGCCCTGCCTCGCGCCCTCGTCGCGGGAGGTGGCCGCCGGGTCTCGGTTCCGGACCCACCCTGTTCAGGGGGTGGGCTGCTGCCCCCGCCCTGCTCGGTCCTTGGGGCTTGGGGAGAGCGCCCTGGCGGCTGCGGCGCGAAAGCGCATCCCCCGGGGCTCACGGCATCTCCTTCCTCCTCGGTGGGTGCCGCGTTTCCCGCGCGTCCGTTCGTCACCCGCAGGGGACAGCTTCGTGGTGTCCGCAGACGCGAGCGGCCGCAAAGGCACGGAGGAGGCGGAGCGGCGCCCAGGCGGCGGCGTGGAGCGCCGCGTGCGGGACAAGCAGGTAGGCTGTGGCTGGCGGGCTGGGACAGCACCACTCCACCACCTCGCAGGGCCGCTCGAAGTGGTGCGGGAGCTATGCACTCTTGCCCAGGCCCAGGCTCAGAGGGAGCGGCCCAGATGGCTGACCAGAGTAATGTCCAGAGGGCCAAAAGAACCAGTTGCTCCCAACCTCCAGGCTGGGGTCCTGGGGACTGCAGCACTGGTATCTGTGCTGGGGGCTGAAGGCCTAGGCTGGGGGTGGGGTGGAGCCCCCACCCCTCCTGCTGGAGAGCTGGGAAGGGTCGTGGGAAAGGCTGAGGCCTAGATGTCCCAGACTGATGTTCTGAGGAGTTGGGTGGCCTGGGGCATCCACAGGTTATGGGGTCAGCTGGCATAGAAAAGAGGGTCCTACTTAGTGGGCACCTTTGCCTCCCATATTCCAGAGGGGTGATCACAGGCCAGGCAGAAGGGATCACCAAGAGAATGGACTGCTGGTGAGCTGTGGCCACCCAGACCACAGATGCTGCTCAGGGGATCAGAGGTCCTGCTTGGGACTCAGGTGCCCCTGAGGGCAGATTATGAAGTGCTATGTCCCGGAACAGAGAACTTCCCAGGCCCAGGCCCTGCAGGGTCTTGGGTAAATCAGACATGCCTGTATTTGCAGAGCTGGAGGGAGTGGGAATGACTATCATCAGCCTTAAGGGGAGATGGGCCCTGCCAGGTGGACCCCCTTGCCCACTGCTGGATGCCCGGTACACCAGGCAAAGTCAAAATACCCTTTTTGGAAGGGTATTTTTCTGCTGGTTGATCAAAGAGATGCTCTGGGTGTTATTTGTAAACACTTCTGCTCAGAAACTAACACACCCCTGAGCTTGGGTTCCTGGGAGGGTCTGTGCCATGCCTGTAAGGGCAGGAAGTACATTCTGAGGTATTTGCTGGGTACAGCATAGGAACGTGGCTGTTTTGCATCCCTCCATCCTGGGTTGGGGACCTGGGCAAGGACACTGGCAGTTGTGTTTTCCCAAGGGAATACTGGTGGCCAGATGGTGCCTCTCGACAGCCTGGTTCACAGATGTGTCATTGTTTAGAGATGTGAAACAGGGGCTGGTGTTGAGGGCTTAGGCTGGCCTCTGTGCCTCAGCTGTCCAGCCTAGGGACCTTCTCTCTGGCAGGCAGTGTGGGCTCAGCCCTTAGGGTCCTGATGAGAGAATGATGTGTTCAGGATAGGGCTGAGACAGGACCATAGAAATGGGCCTCCTGTGGAGTGGGGCCAGAGTGCATGTGCTCTGGAAGGTGACCGAGTCCGCGCAGCTGTGGAGTCAGCTGGGCAAGGAGTGGGGTGGTCTTCAGGACCAGGCTCCACACTTTGGGACATTTTTAAAGAGTGGTGTGGGGTCTGGCTGAGTCGTTGCTGTCTGAGTGTGCCCACATTCCTGAGCACAGGGTCCTGTCTGTGGTGGGAAGAACAGACCCTCAGAACTCGGTGCTGTCCTAAGCCAGGCTTACGAGGCTGCCCGCCAGCAGCACTGCTTACCCCATGTCTGCCATCGGGTCACAGGTGTGCAGTCAAGACCCCTGCCCAGGTGCAGCCCCAGCTGGGCGGCTCTTGGCCCAGGTCCAGGGGAGCCGCCCCTCTGTCCTGCCTCTGCTGCCAGCCAGAGCTCAGCTGGGAATGGCAGGTGTGGAATCTGTAGGTCCTTCCATCTCCCACCTCCCTGCCTTCCCATGGCATCTAGTGCTCCACCCATCACCACGTCCTCCTGAGTGTGTCCCCGAGGAAGGCCAGCCCTGGTTCCCACTGTACCCTGTGACGTCTGGCAGGGACCAGAGTGAGGACCATGCCTTCTGGTCCCTGCGGTTGCCCTTGTGAGCACTGTTTTGTCCTGGGAGTTGTGATGAATACTCTCATGGGCAGTAAGTGGGTATTCGCAACCCCACTTTCACCTACCCTCTCTCACCTCAGGGTGGGTGAAGCTGACCAAGTGGAGTTGCTTCCACCCAGACCATCCATAGGCTTGTGAGACGCTCGAGTGTGAGCACGTCCCCAGGCAGGTGGCCTACCCTCCGGTGGCTCCCCACACCATTCCAGGAAGCTCCTGCAGACTTATCCGGCGGGCTGGTGTGGCTTTCTTCTGAGTGTCTCTGAAGGTCCAGGCTGTGCGTCTGCTGGTGATGGCCACTGGGGCGTCTAGAGTGGTGGGTGACATTGGGAGCAACTGTGGTAGGTGCCTCAAGGTTCCCAGCAGTGACAGGCTGGTGGCTTCTTGAGCACATGATGGTGGCTTTGTTAAAGTGAGCTGGTGTGGAGCAGTGGCCTCCCCAGGTTCTGTGCAGCAGTGTCCCCTCACATGGGTCCTCGTTTCTCCTGCTCCCTGAGGCTGGCGGGAAGCAGCTCAGAGACAAGAATCTCTGTCCACAGCTGGATTCTTCTGTGAGTTAAACACAGATTCCTGGTAGGTGCTCAGCCTGAGAGAGGGGTGTTGTGTTGACTAGAGGGGCTGCTTACTGGGACTCTACCTGGGAGTGAGGAGGCTGCTGGGCCTGCTGTCCGGGGGGACTTGGGAGCTGACCACATCTGCAGGAGGGCAAGATGTGGCTGCTCAGCCCGTCCTGAGCAACCCCAGCTCTGGGGCCCACTCCCTGTTCTGTGCCTAGGCACAGGGCTGTGCGCGTGCTGATGTGTCATGTGCCTCCTGGTGGAGGTGGCCCTCTGGGACACTGGCCAGCATGAGCACCGTAGCACCTCCAAGGCTGAGCTCTACACGTGCCCAGCATCCACCTGCACTGGCTCTGGCTTCCGCAGACTGTCTGCCCTAGAACAGCCTGCCCTAGGTAGCTTCTGGGATCTGAGGCTCGGCCCCTGTGCTCTGCCATCTTCAGAACAGTTCCCTGGAGCTGGCCCGGGGCCTCAGATGCGCATCTCTGCAGCACCCACTGCCTGGTCTGGCTGTGCTGAGGCCCAGGCTGCGCTTCCCCTACGCCCGGCCGGCAGGAGCCCCCTCACCTGCGGGATTCACCAGCTTTCGTTGGTACCTTCTGCTCATCTGTATGTGAGAGCCTGGCCCTGGTGACCAGGGTGGGGCCCTGGGCCTCGGTGCACAGGAAGCAGCCCAAGGGCCATTCGTGCCCAGAGGTTCCAGTGGGCTCCTTCCTCCCTTTCCCACCTCTGCAGCTGTGACAGGAGGCCTGGTCTCTCCTGGATGGGGAGGGGTCCTGAGCCGACACGCACCCTAAGCAGCTCTGGGGGGTCAAGAGTTTTCAGTCCCTGCCACCCTGGAGGGACCAGTGTGGAGAGGGGCCAAGTGGAGTGGTCACCTGGCCCCTGGGTCTGACCTGCATGGGGTGAGGAGCTGAAACTCCCTGGGGTGAGAGGAAGGAAGGCATCCCCTGCACAGTGGTCAGCTGTGGCTATTGGCCCCATATGTGTCCCGGGGACTGCAAGGCAGGGTGAAAGTGGGGTTGGGGGACCAGGGCAGCCGAAGATAGGAGGCGCCTCGAGGCCTTGGGAGCAGCTGCAGCTTCCTCAGGTGTGTGACCCTGGCCATCCCACACCCCAGACCCTGGTGGACACAGGCTCCCACAGGGCCTCTGCTCTGTTAGCATCTCATGATTGTTCTGGGGCCTCAGTTGGTCATCTGTAAATGGTGTCCATGCATGCCAGTGTGGGGCAGTGGATACCTGGGGCTCGCTGGGCCCCTGGGATGGAGGGTCCTTCTCAGGTTCTGGGTGGACTCGTTAATGCCACTTGGTGCCAGGCAGCACCGAACCACCCATGGAGCAGTGGCCACGTCTCCTTGGAAAAGGAGGGGACAGCGCAGTTCCACCGTTGAGTGGCTGAGCCATCCCGCCTGATTGGCTGCCTCTGCAGGCTCAGCAGTGGCCTTCTGGAGGCTCACAGTCCGGTCCTCGCCCCGTGGAGAAGCCTGGACCTGGTCTCAGCTGTGGCCATGCTGCAGGTTGCGATTGCCCTCAAGCTGAGGAGCCTGGGAGGGTGCCCCTTAGCAGCCCTCCTTGGCAGTGCTGAACACGCTGGGTCTTCTGGGCCCTGGTGGCCACTGCAGCTGGACGGTGCCCGTGTGGCCCTTGGCGGCTGCACGGGGAGGATTCATTTTCCTTTGGTCCTGCAGAAGCCTCCAAGGCACTTGTAGCTGGCTTTGAGCTCTTAAGTCAGAGAAACTAAGAAGCATGTAAGTTTTTTTTAAAAAAAAGGACGCAATACCTCCATTTGTCTATCTTTATGTGGTGCGGAGGATCGACCCCAGGCCTCACGGCTAGGTGAGCGCTCCACCCACCGCCCAGCCCCAGCCCCAGCCCCAAGCGTGTGATATTTTAATACGGAAACTCAGAAGATGGTGTCAACCCAGCTGTTGGGGTCCTGCCGTCAGAAGGCAGAGCGCTATATGCAGGCCGCCTGTGCCTGGGCCCCAGCTGGTCAGCAGCCAGGCCCTCCTGGCGGTCGTCCCCACTGTGGTCGATGACTTCGTCCAGGGTGACACCTCAGCCAGGGCTGGACCCTCCTGCGCGGCCCGTGGTGCTGAGCCGACATCCTGACAGGACCAGCCTCACGTCTGCTAGGAGGAAAGAGACCCGCTGTGGTTCTGATTCTTGTCCTCTTGACCCGAAAGAGCTGAACTGGTGACGTGTCCCCCACAGGAACCGTCCCCTGCGGGGGCCTCAGAGAGGGTTGGGGTGGGGTGGGTGGGGTGGGTGGGGTGGGCCCGGCCCTCCGCCACACCTGGCCTCCTGCCCGCTCCTCCCTGTGGGGCCTCACAGGTTCCTTCCTGGCCAAGCCCCGGGATGCCCACGCTGCTGGGAGGCTCTGCTGGGCCCCCAGCCCTGCTCAGACCCTGCCCTCCACCTGCCCATTCAGTCCCCTGCCCAGCACCTAGCCGTCGCCCCTCATGGAGTGCCCGCTGGCCCTTGCTTCCCAGAACACCTCACCAGGTACCAGGACATCAGGTCTCAGAGGCCTCCCAGAGGGCTGGAGCCCCACTGGCCTTGGCCTTGTCCCTCCCTGCCCGG